GCAAGAACATCGCTATTTACGGATATTTACGGTATTTTTTTGCTCCGAGGGTGACTGAGAAAAGTGTGGCAGGGACGACGACGACGACAGCAGCAGCAGCAGCAGCAGCCACAACAACAACAACAACAACAACAACAACAACCACAACAACAACAACAACAACAACAACAACAACAACAACAACAAGGTACAAACAAACACTGGGACCCCGTCCTCTTTATATACCTCTTTTTGTTTCTACCCTTTAGGGTACAAACAAAGACTGGGACCCCGTCGTTGTTATTTGGCCCCGCCCAACAACAAGAATCATACATCATACCTTTCAATTTCCTGCTGCTGGACCCCTTTTTGTGCCGTCAGCGGCCTGGATCCTCCAAAAAGGGGTCCCCCGCAACCTGACTTCAGACTTGCCTCCTTTTCCTGCTGCTGGACCAACAACAACAATAACAACAATAACGACAACTTCGACTCCCCAAAGTTCCTTGGCACCGAACTTCCCACCTACATCACAATGCCCCTTCCCGGCGACTATCTGCATTCTCATCCACGCACCTACCATGCATTCAACTCCACAGTACGTTGCCCACTTCCAAGCCACAGGGCATCGCCCGAGTGCGAAGCTCTACAATAATTACAAAAACTGCATGAAATACATAGAAACTAGCTCCTGGATGCTCCCGGTGTGTGTATATCATTTGGATACGTGTTGATTTTGCTAGTCTTAGAATGGCCGCAACACTGGAAAGTTGGTGTCTTATTGCAAAGGTTGAATAGCTGGGCTTGGCTCCATGTCACTCATTGTTGGGATGCATTTTTTCTCATCCAAGGCATCTCAACACATCATCATTTTCTGCGCAACCCGCTTCTGTATGGAGACTTTGTCTGCAAACCTTCCAGTGGTGTCTTCACCCATGCCTTGACAGTGCCTAATGCATCAAACACCAGCTTGAACCATGCCTTGTGGAGTCTTTCTTTTTGTCCAATACAAAAATTTGTTGGATTGTCTTGGCAGGATTCCAGAAAAACTTAGAGTATCGGCTTGCGAAATGATCCGACTCCCCCACCTTTTCTCTTTGGGCTATTCGCCGAGGTCTAGTCACAGTCCTTTGGACAATTTGAACATTGAATTCGGACTACCAATCTGTGCAGATGCTGAATGATTCGCTGCCATGTGCTGCATAAGCACAGGAACTTGGTGCGATTAAAACATGGACTTGGGGGCTTGCAGACTTGGAAGGTGGCAAATGTCATACTCCTCACCTGGCGGCTCACAAGCGCTCCACCCTGGGTGCCTCCAAGCAGTCAAGAGAAAGGTTGCAAATGCGTGGAAGATGTTGGGAGGAAGCATCAAGCTGGCTCGGTAACGTACAATATCCAAAACGGACCCACTTGGTATACCCCAGAATGCATCGGTCAATCATCCTCAATCATATTCAATCCTCATCTTCCCCGTTAAACCTCATTGTAAACAGCGATTTTAGGGGGAATGCCCAGCAAAGTCGGTGAGGCCTCTCCCACCACTGGCGCACAGGGTCGAACCTGAAGCAACACGGCAAGAGCCATGGGCAGCCATGGGCAGCCACAGGGTTGCTATAACGCTTCATTTTAAAGCATTGACATTTGGGTTTCTCTCTTTTTTTACGGCGCCCAAATCGGGAAGTAGTATATGGGGTATGATTCGGGGGTATGATATGCGGTATCTCGGACATGTGGAATGCTTTGCACCTAATTTTTAGGTATCATATGGTATAATATAGTTGGTTGGACTCGTAATCTAGTTTCTATGATACAATATGGTTGTGTTTTCTTATACTATATGATATTAGATCATATAATATAACCACATAGACTCATATAGTTATATGATACTATATGATATAATATAATTAATGACATAGATTCAAATAGTACATAGGAATATATAGGATATGTTTAGATATGTTTAGTTTAGACTGTTTAGATATGTTGTATCAAATGTGGTGAATAAGAGGGACTCTGTGTATATCCCGAAGACTAGCAAAGCTGCGTCTGTGTTGTCTGCCGTCACGCCTTCACTGGTGGAGTCTTGCGTGCAGCGATGACATCTCCTCCACTTAGACTTCGCTCTGGCTGAAACAACATGCATGTAAATCAGGGAATTAAATTGGAATAAACAAGCTGCAAGTGACTGTGACAAGGGAAAACTCACAACTGCATGGATATGTTTTTGTTCAGGCTGTGACAATGACATGAAATGGGAATCCATTGGCTGCAGTTGACATGTCCGCAGGTACAGGCATTTTGCGAAATCGATCGAAGCCCACGGGGCACGACATGCACAAGCTCACGGCCAAAAGAGGAGTTGGCCCAGTCTCCAAGCAAGTCATGTCCTTGCAATATTTAAAACATTGAAAATAGCTGGCACTAAGCAGAGATAAACGCAGCTGCACTCAGAGCATCTGCTTCTCCCCCTCCATGGCAGACATCGTAGATGCAGTCAATGAAAACCTCTGCGTGATGGTCATCCTGAGGGAGGTGTTTGGCACAAATCGTCTCAGCTTCTTGCTCTGCAGCTTCCGTGCACGTCTCGGTGCTGAGCAAAGCCGTTCCAAGTTGTTGTTTGGACTTCAAAAACTCTTCCGCCACCTCACTTCCACCCAATGAAGCCCAGGTCCCCAAAACCTGGAACTCGGTATCCTTCTGCATGACCATGGAGTTGAGCTTGGCAGACAAGAAGCTCAGGTGGTGCTGGTTGTGTGGTGATCGTGGTGCACCTCCAAGCTCCCCACCCACATAGTCCAAATCCTTCGTGGCATACATCTTCACCTTGAAATTCAAATGCTTCTTGGGGCCGCAGTGCGTCAAAAGCCTGGCCACATTCACGCTTCCGACGCCTGGCTGCTGCATCTGCAAAACCAGCACCGACTCCAACATCAAAGGATCCTGGGTGTGTTTGCGAGCTTCCTGGACTTCCAGGTTCGCAGCACCATGGGACAACAACTGTGGCTGCACTTCTCGCCATCCATTTTCTGTTTTCATCTGCCACCCACAGTCTTCTGCTGTCATCTGCAAAGTCAGTCCACTCTGCTTTTCCAGCAGCAACAGCGACTGAGTGGTGAACCGCGATTCCGCACCGGAGTAAGCGGCCAAAAGGCGCCAATCCACTGGAGCCTTGGAAAAGCTCCATGCCAAAAAGTTGCCACTCTGCAACAGTGTGTAATGCGCACCTCTCAGAGTATGAATGTGGGGATCATTGTTAACTACTCCTATAGTACTTGTACCACGCAGCAGCAAAGTCTTCTCGAAGTCCCCGAAGGAAGGTTGCACCTGGAGTCGGAATCGGGCTTCTTTGAGGCTTCGCAATTGCCGCCATTGTTAAGGAGTGGGGCCAGGTCGGATTCAACCTGTGGTATCTCTGCTGCAGTTTGAGGGTCGGAGTTGCCACCACAGATCACTCCCAGGGTGGCCATTACATCGATCAAGGCTTGTCCCTGAAGGTCTTGCTGCTGACCAGGGTCACACACCTTCGGATCGCAAACGTCTTCGCAGCTTTGTCCAGCATTTCCAAGTGCCCAGTCGCAGTCTGATGGACCTTGCAGAGAGGAAACCTGAAGGGCTGAAGCAGCATCTGCGCAACTGCCATCAAGCAAGCAACTGTCAGATCTATCAGGTCCATCCTGAGAGAAGACCAGATGCACCATCATGGCAAGAGCCGCCATCATGCTTGCCATTTTGAAATGCAAAGGGAACACCGTGGAACACCTGCTACCTCCTATTGGCCAGTCTTTCCTTGAGGTAAACAGCTTGATCCACACCATTCCAAAACCAGGAAGAAGCTTTCTTTGCACACAGCCAGAACTGCTGCAGGCTCTAAACGCAAATAATTATAATATAATATAGTTGTTGAGCAACAATTGCAATGCACCATCATGCTCTGGTCTCCAAGAGTGCAGGAACTCTCGATCTGAAGAGACCCAGAACAGTCTGATGGCTGGGTCTAACCCCTTGCAGCTTCAGACCCTGTGAAGAATCCTTTGGAGCAAGCTTCCTCGCTTCATCGAGAAACCTTGGGAGCTGGCATGCCATTCTGGCTCCCTCAAGACTACATGGAAATTCTGGCAGCCAGTTGCAAACGGATAGACATGCCTTTCCCTTCCTGATCCAGGGTGACACCTCCATGGGTTGCTAGGTGTTGCCAAGCTACCTCTCCCCGAACTTCTCGAACATGGCTGATCCACCAGACAGAACGATCTCGGCCGGGCCAATTTCATGCGTTGGCAATGTTGAAAGAATTGCCCTGTCAGATCTTTCACCAGGTGAAGATATTTCAAGAATTCTCACGATATTTCAAAAACATTCAACCCTACAGCCATCAGTCCAAGCTCCATGGATGGATGGTTGGAAGGATGGATGGAAGGATAGAAGGATCTTCAAATCTTGGTTGATCTTCACAAGGGGAAATCTAGACACCGTCCATTCATGGGACAAATACCAGGGCTTTTGAAGGTCCAAAGATGCACGAATGGAAAGACCTGAGATTAAACAGTTGATTCCCATTCCAGAAGGCTATCAGATGCATTCAGCTGGTCGTGTGCCTGGTTGTAGGTATCATAGTAATCTTAGTAGTCAGCAAAAAGATTGAGTGAGCGTAGCATGTTTTTAGTCCATGTCATTCGTCACTATGGAATGGCCCCAAAGTTCCTAGCTGCCTTCCAAAGCGAACCCCACCTATCCATCTGCGGAGCAATCTCTCTCGCGATGAGCAGAGATGTGAATCTTGATGTCCTGCACTTCATTCTTTCTTTCTTTCTCGGAGCATATGAGTCTAAATTAGACTGTGCTCTGAGTGAAACAACATGCAACTCGGCACAGCGAATGAAATTAGAATAAAACAAGCTGCAATTGACAGTGACAAGGGAAAGCTCACAACGGCATGGGCATGCTTTTGTTCAGGCTGTGACCATGACATGACATGTGAATCCATTGGCTGCAGTTGACATGTCCGCAGGTACAGGCATTTTGCGAAATCGATCGAAGCCCACGGGGCACGAGATGCACAAGCTCACGGCCAAAAGAGGAGTTGGCCCAGTCTCCAAGCAAGTCATGTGCTTGCAATATTTAAAATCTAAAACGCTGAAAATAGCTGGCACTAAGCAGAGATAAACGCAGCTGCACTCAGAGCATCTGCTTCTCCCCCTCCATGGCAGACATCGTAGATGCAGTCAACAAAAACCTCTGCGTGATGGTCATCCTGAGGGAGGTGTTTGGCACAAATCGTCTCAGCTTCTTGCTCTGCAGCTTCCGTGCACGTCTCGGTGCTGACCAAAACCGTTCCAAGTTGTTGTTTGGACTTCAAAAACTCTTCCGCCACCTCACTTCCACCCAATGAAGCCCAGGTCCCCAAAACCTGGAACTCGGTATCCTTCTGCATGACCATGGAGTTGAGCTTGGCAGACAAGAAGCTCAGGTGGTGCTGGTTGTGTGGTGATCGTGGTGCACCTCCAAGCTCCCCACCCACATAGTCCAAATCCTTCGTAGCGTACATCTTCACCTTGAAATTCAAATGCTTCTTGGGGCCGCAGTGCGTCAAAAGCCTGGCCACATTCACGCTTCCGACGCCTGGCTGCTGCATCTGCAAAACCAGCACCGACTCCAACATCAAAGGATCCTGGGTGTGTTTGCGAGCTTCCTGGACTTCCAGGTTCGCAGCACCATGGGACAACAACTGTGGCTGCACTTCTCGCCATCCATTTTCTGTTTTCATCTGCCACCCACAGTCTTCTGCTGTCATCTGCAAAGTCAGTCCACTCTGCTTTTCCAGCAGCAACAGCGACTGAGTGGTGAACCGCGATTCCGCACCGGAGTAAGCGGCCAAAAGGCGCCAATCCACTGGAGCCTTGGAAAAGCTCCATGCCAAAAAGTTGCCACTCTGCAACAGTGTGTAATGCGCACCTCTCAGAGTATGAATGTGGGGATCATTGTTAACTACTCCTAGTACTTGTTCCACGCAGCAGCAAAGTCTTCTTGAAGTCCCCGAAGGAAGGTTGCACCTGGAGTCGGAATCGGGCTTCTTTGAGGCTTCGCAATTGCCGCCATTGTTGAGGAGTGGGGCCAGGTCGGATTCAACCTGTGGTATCTCTGCTGCAGTTTGAGGGTCGGAGTTGCCACCACAGATCACTCCCAGGGTGGCCATTACATCGATCAAGGCTTGTCCCTGAAGGTCTTGCTGCTGACCAGGGTCACACACCTTCGGATCGCAAACGTCTTCGCAGCTTTGTCCAGCATTTCCAAGTGCCCAGTCGCAGTCTGATGGACCTTGCAGAGAGGAAACCTGAAGGGCTGAAGCAGCATCTGAGCAACTGCCATCAAGCAAGCAACTGTCAGATCTATCAGGTCCATCCTGAGAGAAGACCAGATGCACCATCATGGCAAGAGCCGCCATCATGCTTGCCATTTTGAAATGCAAAGGGAACACCGTGGAACACCTGCTACCTCGTATTGGCCAGTCTTTCCTTGAGGCAAACAGCTTGATCCACAACATTCCAAAACCAGGAAGAAGCTTTCTTTGCACACAGTCAGAACTGCTGCAGGCTCCAAACGCAAATTTTGGATTATAATATAATATAGTTGTTGTTGAGCAACAATTGCAATGCGCCATCATGCTCTGGTCTCCAAGAGTGCAGGAACTCTCGATCTGAAGAGACCCAGAACGGTCTGATGGCTGGATCTAACCCCTTGCAGATTCAGACCCTGTGAAGAATCCTTTGGAGCAAGCTTCCTCGCTTCATCGAGAAACCTTAGGAGCTGGCATGCCATTCTGGCTCCCTCAAGACTACATGGAATTTCTGGCAGCCAGTTGCAAACGGATAGACATGCCTTTCCCTTCCTGATCCAGGGTGACACCTCCATGGGTTGCTAGGTGTTGCCAAGCTACCTCTCCCCGAACTTCTCGAACATGGCTGATCCACCAGACAGAACGATCTCGGCGGGGCCAATTTCATGTGTTGGCAATGTTGAAAGAATTGACCTGTCAGATCTTTCACCAGGTGAAGATATTTCAAGAATTCTCACGATATTTCAAAAACATTCAACCCTACAGCCATCAGTCCAAGCTCCATGGATGGATGGTTGGAAGGATGGATGGAAGGATAGAAGGATCTTCAAATCTTGGTTGATCTTCACAAGGGGAAATCTAGACACCGTCCATTCATGGGACAAATACCAGGGCTTTTGAAGGTCCAAAGATGCACGAATGGAAAGACCTGAGATGAAACAGTTGATCCCCATTCCAGAAGGCTATCAGATGCATTCAGCTGGTCGTGTGCCTGGTTGTAGGTATCATAGTAATCTTAGTAGTCAGCAAAAAGATTGAGTGAGCATAGCATGTTTTTAGTCCATGTCATTCGTCACTATGGAATGGCCCCAAAGTTCCTAGCTGCCTTCCAAAGCGAACCCCACCTATCCATCTGCGGAGCAATCTCTCTCGCGATGAGCAGAGATTTGAATCTTGATGTCCTGCACTTCATTCTTTCTTTCTCGGAGCATATGAGTCTAAATTAGACTGTGCTCTGAGTGAAACAACATGCAACTTGGACAGCGAATGAAATTAGAATAAAACAAGCTGCAATTGACAGTGACAAGGGAAAGCTCACAACGGCATGGGCATGCTTTTGTTCAGGCTGTGACCGCTGCAGTTGACATGTTCACAGATACAGGCATTTTGCGAAATCGACCGAAGCCCACGGGGCACGAGATGCACAAGCTCACGGCCAAAAGAGGAGTTGGCCCAGTCTCCAAGCAAGTCATGTGCTTGCAATATTTAAAATCTAAAACGCTGAAAATAGCTGGCACTAAGCAGAGATAAACGCAGCTGCACTCAGAGCATCTGCTTCTCCCCCTCCATGGCAGACATCGTAGATGCAGTCAATGAAAACCTCTGCGTGATGGTCATCCTGAGGGAGGTGTTTGGCACAAATCGTCTCAGCTTCTTGCTCTGCAGCTTCCGTGCACGTCTCGGTGCTGAGCAAAGCCGTTCCAAGTTGTTGTTTGGACTTCAAAAACTCTTCCGCCACCTCACTTCCACCCAATGAATCCCAGGTCCCCAAAACCTGGAACTCGGTATCCTTCTGCATGATCATGGAGTTGAGCTTGGCAGACAAGAAGCTCAGGTGGTGCTGGTTGTGTGGTGATCGTGGTGCACCTCCAAGCTCCCCACCCACATAGTTTAAATCCTTCGTGGCATACATCTTCACCTTGAAATTCAAATGCTTCTTGGGGCCGCAGTGCGTCAAAAGCCTGGCCACATTCACGCTTCCGACGCCTGGCTGCTGCATCTGCAAAACCAGCACCGACTCCAACATCAAAGGATCCTGGGTGTGTTTGCGAGCTTCCTGGACTTCCAGGTTCGCAGCACCATGGGACAACAACTGTGGCTGCACTTCTCGCCATCCATTTTCTGTTTTCATCTGCCACCCACAGTCTTCGGCTGTCATCTGCAAAGTCAGTCCACTCTGCTTTTCCAGCAGCAACAGCGACTGAGTGGTGAACCGCGATTCCACACCGGAGTAAGCGGCCAAAAGGCGCCAATCCACTGGAGCCTTGGAAAAACTCCACGCCAAAAAGTTGCCACTCTGCAACAGTGTGTAATGCGCACCTCTCAGAGTATGAATGTGGGGATCATTGTCAACTACTCCTTGTTCCACGCAGCAGCAAAATCTTCGCTCATCCCCGTCCGGCGGTCGCGGCCCCTCGCACTGGGAGTTCGACTCATCGTCGCAGGTTTTACAAATGCCGAACTTGTCGATGTATGGGGCTCTGTCGTCAGCTGTCGTAGTTGGGCCGTCGGTACAGTTAAGCCCCGCCCCAAAGCTGTCCAGCACAGCTTCGAAAGCTAGTCCCTGGAGGGCCTTCTGCTTTGCAGGGCTACACACCTTATCCGGCTCGCAAGCTTCTTCGCAGCTTTGTCCAAGAGTTCCAAGTACCCAGTCGCATTCTGGTGGGTTTTGCAGAAAGGAAACCTGAAGGGCTGAAGCAGCATCTGAGCAACTGCCATCAAGCAAGCAACTGTCAGATCTATCAGGTCCATCCTGAGAGAAGACCAGATGCACCATCATGGCAAGAGCCGCCATCATGTTTGCCATTTTGAAATGCAAAGGGAACACCGTGGAACACCTGCTACCTCGTATTGGCCAGTCTTTCCTTGAAGCAAACAGCTTGATCCACAACATTCCAAAACCAGGAAGAAGCTTTCTTTGCACACAGTCAGAACTGCTGCAGGCTCCAAACGCAAATTTTGGATTGTCATATTATAATATAGTTGTTGAGCAACAATTGCAATGCACCATCATGCTCTGGTCTCCAAGAGTGCCGGAACTCTCGATCTGAAGAGACCCAGAACAGTCTGATGGCTGGGTCTAACCCCTTGCAGCTTCAGACCATGTGAAGAGTCCTTTGGAGCAAGCTTCCTCGCTTCATCGAGAAACCTTGGGAGCTGGCATGCCACTCTGGCTCCCTCAAGACTACATGGAATTTCTGGCAGCCAGTTGCAAACGGATAGACAGATAGACATGCCTTTCCCTTCCTGATCCAGGGTGACACCTCCATGGGTTGCTCGGTGTTGCCAAGCTACCTCTCCCCGAACTTCTCGAACATGGCTGATCCACCAGACAGAACGATCTCGGCGGGGCCAATTTCACGTGGCAATGTTGAAACAGGAATGGCCCATTGGCCCTTTCAGATCTTTCAGCAGGTGAAGATATTTCAAGAATTCTCACTTCAAAAACAAAAACAACCCTACAGCCAGTCCAGCTCCAGACTCACTGGATGCCCAGGAAGCACAGCCTTGCTATGCCTTGCTGCCCACCTGAGAGAAGAGTCAGAAGAGTGTCATCCAGCTATGGCTGGTATTCCCTGCCTGGATATTCCTGACCAATCAGACTTGGGTTGAAGAGATCGGAACCTGCGAAAAGAAACGCATTGCTACTGGAGATCCCAAATGACGCAGATGCTATGTGCATGTGCTAGATCAGTGTTAAACATCATGCTGCTTGTGTTTGCAACATCACATATGCCATGTCGAAATATAGTATAGTGGCCATATGTTTCCCTATTTATAGAGTTTTACAAGGGAGTGACCATTCCGTAAGATGGGTGTACAACCCAACGAACTTGAGCCTGGCACGCCATGGGCTTCCTTTCTCAACCAAGCCCTACCAAGCCGCAGCAGGTGAAAATCACATCGCTTTTTCACAACAGGGAAATCACGCACCAGATATTTTCCATTCACCCTTAACCACTGACTATTAACATCTATTAACCAAACCATTAATCACTGGTTAACAACATTTCACAACCATAAAAATCACATCCGGCCTGGATCTCCTTGCCATTCCTGCAGCTAAATCCTGGGAGATTGATCAGTACTCCACCCATGGTGACCTAAAGGGTCAAGTCATTGTCAACCTCCTAACATGGATGGTTTGATAGCAAAATTCACCGATTTTGTGGAACGATTGGTGCCTGAAGTTCGACCCATCCCATGAAAAATATCTAATCTATTTCCTTAGTAGAAACTTTGAAATCCTGGATTCTGGGTAATTTTTGTTGGAGAATCGCGTAATCCATAGATTGAGGAAAATCATAAGCTATCGAACGACCGTTGATGGTTTATTCTCAATAAATCTCAGTGTCAAATTGACCGGAAAAAGCAAACATGGGTGACTTACCTCTTGTTCTTAGTCAGAACTCAAACATTGCGTTCCCAAAAAGGTGCCGAAAGAGGGATGAAATCATTTGGGAACAAAACAACTACTGCGCTGCGCCACAAACCTGTGATCTTTACCATGACTCTTCACAAAGCGCATTCCAAGAGTCTTCACATCCCATGAGATCAGCTCTGCAGGCTCTGCATCACCTCAGCGAGGATCTGAGGATGCCCAGGCAAATTCATGACTTTGTATTTGATCAAAAATTCTCTTCGAGGGGTTCAGCATTCCACACAAACATAGTTCGCCCTGTCAAGTTGGAGGGTTTCTCACTGAGGTATGGACGATTGCGGAAAAAATTGCGGTGGCTAGAAGCCGTGTGCTTCCATGGATACAGACAAGTTCGGCGCTACCCTTTCAGCTTTAAGATTACATTTGATTACACCGAAAAAGAGACCCCAAACAGTATGGGGGTGGGAAGTCAATGTACCAGATACAAGCACATGCTGTTGATAGGTCGACCCATTTGGCACAGCGTAAAGACACCTGTCAGATCCTGTCAATGATTTTGCCCTTA